ACATATACATATACATATACATATACATATACATATACATATACATAATGAGTGTGTAGTATATAAACGCTTGACCCTTGAACAACACAGAGGTTGGAGTGCTGGCACCTCCCTTGGTGCAGTTGAAAATCCATGTGTAACATTTGACTCTCTGAAAACTTAACTACTAATAGCCTACTATTGCTCTTAACCCTTGCTGCTGAATTTTTTATTTCAATTATCATACTTTCTGCTGCACAATTTTTATATGTTTTTTTAGTAGTAAGAAGTTTATTTTATATATATATTTATGTGTGTGTGTATGTATATATACATTATATATATAATGTATATATACACATATATAATTTTTTATATATATATTTAATTATATATATATAATTTTCTTTTTTTTAAGTGAGCTTTATGCACAACCCAGGGCATGAAATCATGACCCGGAGATCAAGACCTGAGTTGAGATCAGAAGTCAGATGTTTAACTGATTGAGCCACCCAGGCGCCCCTTATTTATTTACTTATTTTCAAATTTTTATTTAAATTCCAGTTAATTAACATATAGTATAATACTGGTTTCTTGAGTAAAGTTTAGTGATTCATCACTTACATATAACACCCATTGCTCAACATAAGTGCCCTCCATAATACCCATAGGCCATTTAGCCCATCCCCTGCCCTACTCACCTCCCCTCCAGCAATCCTTAGTTTGTTCTCTATAGTTAAGAGTCTCTTATGGTTTGCCTCTCTTTTTTTTCCCCTTTCCCTGTGTGTTCATTATTTTATATCTTCAGTTCCACACGAGTGAAATCATATGGTATTTGTCTTTCTCTGACTGACTTATTTCACTTAGTATAATACACTCTAGCTCTGTCCGTGTCATGGCACATGGCAAGATTTCAGTCATTTTGATGGCTGAGTAATATTCCATTGTATATACACACCAAATCTTCCTTATCCATTCATCAGTTGATGGAGGTTTGGGCTTTTTCTATAATTTGGCTATTGTTGATAATGCTGCTATAAACATTGGGGTGCATGTGCCTCTTCAAATCAGTACATTTGTATCCTTTGGGTAAATACCTACTAGTGCAATTGCTGGGTCATAGGTATTTCTATTTTTAACTCTGAGGAACCTCCATACTCTTTTCGGAGTAACTGCCCCAGTTTGCATTCCCACCAACAGTGTAAGAAGTTTTCCCCTTTCTCGACACCCTTGTCAGCATCTCTTGTTTTGTGTGTTGCTAATTTTAGCCATTCTGACAAGTGTGAGGTGGTATCTCATCCTGGTTTTGATTTGTATTTCCCTGATGATGAGTGATATTGAGCATCTTTTCATGTGTCTGTTGGCCATCTGGATGTCTTCTTTGGAAAAATGTCTATTAATGCCTTCTGCCCATTTCTTACTAGGATTATTTGTTTTTCGGGTATGGAGTTTGATAAGTTCTTTATAGATTTTTGGATACTAATCCTTTATCAGATGTGTCATTTGCAAACATCTTCTCCTATTTCATAGGCTGCCTTTCCGTTTTGTGGATTGTTCCCTTCACTGTGCAAAAGGATTTTTCTTGATGAAGTTCCAATAGCTCATGTTTGTTTTTGTTTCCCTTGTGTCCTGAGACATGTCTAGTAAGAAATTATTCTGGCCCAGGTCAAAGAGGTTGCTTCCTTTGTTCTTTCTCGTCTAGGATTTTGATGGTTTTCTTCCTGTGTTCTTTCTCCTCTAGGATTTTGATGGTTTCCTTTCTCAAACTCTGGTCTTTCATCCATTTTGAATTTTTATTTTATGGTATAAGAAAGTGGTCCAGTTTTCCCAACACCATTTTTTTTTAAGTTTATTTACTTATTTTGAGAGACAGAAAGTGAACAGGAAGGGGCAGAGAGAGAGAGAGACAGAATCCCAAACAGGTTCTGCACTGCCAGCGTAGAGCCCATTGCAGGGCTCAGTCTCACAAACTGTGACATCATGACCTGAGCTGAGAGTAAGAGTCAGACATTTAACCAACTGAGCCACCCAGGCACCCCCAACACCATTTGGTGAAGAGATATTTTTCCATTGGATGTTCTTTCCTGCTTTGTCAAATATTAGTTGGCCATATATAGTTGTGGGTCCATTTCTGGGTTTTCTGTTTTATTCCATTGATCTTTGTGTCTGTTTTTGTGCCAGTACCATCCTGTATTGATGACTACAGCTTTGCAATGTAGCTTGAAGTTTGGAATTGTGATACCTTCAGTTTTGCTTGTCTTTTTCAAGGTTTCTTTAGCTCTTCAAGGTCTTTTTTGGTTCCAAGCAAATTTTAGGATTATTTGTTCTAGTTCTTTGAAAAATGCTGGTGGTACTTTGATAGGGATTGCATTAAATGTGTAGATTGCTTTGGGTAGTATAGACATTTTAACAATGTTTGTTCTTCTAATCCATGAGCATGGAATGTTTTCTCATTTCTTTGTGTCCCTTTCAATTTCTTTCATAAGTGTTCTACAGTTTTCAGAGTACAGATGTTTTACCTCTTTAGTTAGGTTTATTCCTAGGTATCTTATTGTTTTTGGTGCAGTTGTAAATGGGATCGAGTCCTGGATTTCTCTTTCTGCTGCTTCATTATTGGTGTATGGAAATGCAACAGATTTCTGTACAGTGATTTTATATCCTGTGACTTTGCTGGATTCGTGTATCAGTTCTAGCAATTTTTTGGTGGAATCTGTTGGGTTTTCTACATAGAGTATCAGGTCATCTATAAATAGTGGAAGTTGGACTTCTTCCTTGTCAATTTAGATGTCCTTTATTTCTTTTTGTTGTCTGATTGCTAAGGCTAGGATTTCCAGTACTATATTAAATAACAGTGGTGACAGTCAACACCCCTGTGGTATTCCTTATCCCTAAAAGCTGTCAGCTTTTCCCCATCAAGGATGCTATTAGCTGTGGGTCTTTTGTATATGGCCTTTATGATGTTGAGGCTATGTTCCCTCTATCTCTGCTTTGTTGAGGGTTTTTATTAAGAATGGATGCTGTACTTTATCAAATGCTTTTTCTGCATCTATTGACAGGATCATATGGTTCTTATCCTTTCTTAATGTGGTATCTCACATTGATTGATTTGCAAATATTGGACCACCCTTTTGTAGTCCAGGAATAAATCTCACTTGGTTGTGGTGAATAATTCTTTTAATGTACTGTTGGATTCAATTTGTTAGTATCTTATTGAGAATTTTTGCATCCATATTCATGAGGAATATTGCCTATAGTTTTTCAGTGGGATCTTTGTCTGGTTTTGGAATCAAGGTAATGCTGGCTTTGTAGAATGAGTTTGAAAATTTCCTTCCATTTCTATTTTTGGAACAGTTTGAGAAGAATAGCCAATTTGATTACTGATTCAATTTCTTTGCTGGTTATAGGTCTGTTCAAATTTTCTATTTCTTCAGGTTTTAGTTTTGGTAGTTTGTGAGTTTTATCTATTTCTTCCAGATTGTTGGCATGTAATTTTTCATAAAATTATCTTATAATTGTATTTCTGGGTTGTTGGTTGTGATCTCTCCTCTTTCATTTGTGATTTTATTTATTTGGGTCCTTTCTCTCTCCATCTCTCTCTCTTTCTCTCTCTCTCTCTTTTTTTTTTTTGATAAGTCTGGCTTAGGGGTTTAACAATTTTATTAATTCTTTCAAAGAACCAGCTCTTAGTTTTGTTGATCTGTTCTACTGTTTTGTTTGTTTGTTTGTTTGTTTCCCTATAAATTATTTGTACTCTTAACATTTATTAGTTCCCTTCTTCTGCTGGCTTTAGGCTTTATTTGCTGTTCCTTTTCTAGCTCCTTTAGGTGTAAGGTTAGGTTGTGTATTTGAGACTTTTCTTGTTTTTTGAGGTAGACGTGTATTGCTGTGTACTTCCTCTTATGTCTACTTTTGCTGCATTCCAAAAGGTTCTGGAGTGCTGTGTTTTCATTTTCATTTGCTTCCATATATTTTGTTTTCCTTCTTTAATTTCCTGGTTAACCCATTCATACTTTAGTAGAATGTTCTTTAACTTCCATATCTTTGTGGTGTTTCCAAATTTTTTCTTCTGGTTGACTTCAAGTTTCATAGTGTTATAGTCTGAAAATATGCATTGTATGATCTCAGTCTTTTTGTACTTGTTGAGGCCTGATTTGTGACCCAGTACATGATCAGTTCTGGAGCCTGTTCCATGTGCACTTGTAAAGAATGTGTTTTCTACTGCTTTAGGATGAAATGCTCTGAATATATCTGTTAAGTCTATCTGGTCCAATGTATCATTCAAAACCATTGTTTTCTTGTTGATTATTTACTTGCATGTTCTGTTCATTGCTGTTATTGGGGTGTTAAAGTCACCTATGATTGTTATCAATGATTTTCTTTATGTTTGTTATTAATTGATTTATATATTTGGGTGTTTCAAAGTTGAGGGCATAAATATTTACAGTTGTTAGATCTTTTTGGATAGACCCCTTTATAATGATATAGTGCCTTGCTTCATGTCTTGTTACAGTATTTGGTTTAAAATCTAGTTAGTCTGATAATCGTATGGCTACTCTGGCTTTCTTTTGATGTCTATTTAGCATGATAGATGGTTTTCCATCCCCTTAAAACCTTTCTTTTTTTTTAATGTTTATTTATTTTTGAGACAGAGGGATAGAGAGAGTGTGAGCAGGGGAGGGGCAGAGAGAGAAGGAGACACAGAATCCGAAGCAGGCTCCAGGCTCCGAGCTGCCAGCACAGAGCCTGACGTAGGACTCGAACTCACGAACCGCCAGATCATGACCTGAGCTGAAGTCGGATGCTCAGCCAATTGAGCCACCCAGGTGCCCCCATCCCCTTTCTCTTTTTTTTTTTTTTTTTTAATTTTTTTTTCAACGTTTTTTATTTATTTTTGGGACAGAGAGAGACAGAGCATGAACGGGGGAGGGGCAGAGAGAGAGGGAGACACAGAATCGGAAACAGGCTCCAGGCTCCGAGCCATCCGCCCAGAGCCTGACGCGGGGCTCGAACTCACGGACCGCGAGATCATGACCTGGCTGAAGTCGGACGCTTAACCGACTGCGCCACCCAGGCGCCCCAACCCCCCATCCCCTTTCTATTTGGACGTGTCTTCAGGTCTAAAACGAATCTCATGTAGGCAGCATATGTATAGGTCTTCTCTTTTTATTCCATTCTGATACCCTATGTCTTTTGATTGGAGCATTTAGTCCATTTACATTCAGAATGATTATTGATAGAAAAGAATTTCATGTGATTGTATTACCTGAAAAGTTGTCGTTTCTGGAGATTTTCTCTATTCCTTTCTAGTGTTTGTTGCTTTTGGTCTTTCTTTCCCACTCAGAGTCCCCTTTAATATTTCTCGTAGGGTTGGTTTAGTGGTCACAAACTGCTTTAGTTTGTGTTTGTCTGGGAAACTCCTTATTTCTCCTACTCTGAATGACAGCCTTGCTAGATAAAGTAGTTTGGGCTGCATATTTTTCTCACTAAGCACATTGATATATCGTGCCACTCTCTTCTGGCCTGCCAAGTTTCTCTGGAGAGATCCTCTGCTAACTTGACCTGTCTTTCCTTTAGGTTAGGAATTTCTTTTCCATTACTGCTTTCAGGATTCTTTCCTTAAGTCTGTGTTTTGCAAATTTTGCTATGATACAGCTTCATGTTGGCCAGTTTTTATTGATTTTGATAGGAATTCTCTGTGCCTCCTGGATTTGGATGCTGGTTTCCTTACCCTGATTAAGGAAGTTTTCAGCTGTCATTTGCTCAAGTAAACCTTCTCCTCCTTTTGTCTTTCTTCTTCTGGGACTCCTGTGATATGAATGTTATTATGTTTCATGGAGTTGTTGAGTTCCTAAGTCTACATTTGTGATCCAATACTTTTCTTTCCCTCTTCCTTTCAGCTTCATTATTTTCCATAATTTTATCTTCTATATCACTTATTTTTTTCTTCTGCTACTTCCATTCCTGTGTTCATTACATCCAGTCATTTTGCATCTTGGTTATAGCATTTTTTATGTCAGCCTCACTAGTTTTTAGCATTTTTTTTATTGCTGTAGTAAAGGTGTCTCTGTTTTTTCTATGCTTTTCTCAAGCCCAGCTATTATTCTTATGGTCGTTGTGTTAAAATTTTGGTTCTGTCATATTACTTATATCTATTTCGATTAGCTCCTTGGTTGTGACCTCTTCCTGTTCTTTCTTTTGGGACGCATTCCCCCATTTTGGCATCTTACCTTGGTCTCTGTCTTTTATGTGGTAAAAAAGCCTGTGCTTTGTCCTATTTCCCCTAGAGCTGGCACTTTGCAGCAATTTATGATCATTAGACCTGGTGCCTGTGGGGTGATTTGTGCTGGTCTTCTGCGGGAGGAGCCAGTATTGCTCTGGCTCTTAACCACACTTGCCCTAGTGAAAAAAGGCACCTGTACAGTGTAGGGGTGTGGGGCGTAATGTAAATGGCTCAAGCCCTTGTCATGTATTCTGTGCCACTTGCTGAAGTCTCTCCATGCTGATGGGAGGGGTGAAAAATGGCATCAGACCACTCTGTTCCCTGGAGAGGGGAGTGTATGCTGGCCAGTGTTCAGCATGCCCTTACAGAAGAGTAAACAGTTTACCCCCTTGTGCCTTCAGCTTCCATCTGATCCATGCCTTCAACCTGTGTCTGAGCCACTGGCAGCGCAGTGCTCCTTTGTTTTATTTATCTCAGGTGCCTGACTGGGTTTCTAAATTCCAAATTTTAGGGACCCTGCACATGCCCGGACCTGCACTGATCCTCTGGGGAGGTTTTCAGTTCACTGTGGCTCACACATTTGTTCCAGAAGGATAGTTGCATGACTGTGTAGGGGCTTGGATTTTATAAATGGTAAAGCATAGTAAAAAGCCTGCATCCAGGTTAGCTGCCCTCAGAAGGTGTCTCTGCTCGTATGCCAATGAACCAAAGAGCCCAACAGCACCCGCCAGCTCTTTTGTCCCCTTAGAGGCAGTGATGCTCTCAAATGCCATGCAAGGAAGGGGAGCTGTCTTTTCTAGCATGACACAGGATCCTTAGAGCTCGCTGTCCAAACTGAGGCCTCTGCCCTCTTTCTCCATAGGAGCATCACTAAGCCTACCAGGCTCGACTCTGGTGATGGCATGAACTAAACTTCAGACTTCCAGCTTCACTGCTTGTAAAAAACTTGAGATAATCAGCTCTGACTCATTTTCCCTGTCAGTAGTTTTGGGGAAGTGTTTTTCTTTTGTAATCCCCTGCATGCTACTTTCTCTCTCTCTCTCCCTCTCCCCCTCTCTCCTTCTCTCCTTCTCTCCCTCTCTCTCCCTCTCTCTTCCTCTCTCCCTCTCTCTCCTCTCTCTCCTCTCTCTCTTCTCTCTCTTCCCCTACTCCTGACCTTCTCTCTTTCTCTTTTTCCTCTCTCTGTGATCAGGGCTCTGTCTGCTCTGTAGCACTTGCGATTCTTTTCTCCCTCAAATCACATCTCCACCTCTCCTACCTTCCATGATGTGGCGTCTATTCTCCCACTAGTTTTGCAATTTGTTCTCTCAGTCCTCAGGTTGTTTTCCTGGGTGTTCAGTATCATTTGAAAATTATCTAGCTGTGTTTGAGGGACAAGGCAAGATCCTCCTACTACTCTGCCATCTTAACTCCTTTCCTCTGTATCTTTTCTTGACACAGTTTCTGTATCTTTGATATTCTGTTGGGAGAGACATTGTTTTCCTGGCTTTCATGTGTTTTCTTAAAGTTCTTTGTTCCATGTTTCTTTTAGCTCTTTGAACAGATTTTAAACCATTTATTTAAAGTCTTTGTCTAATAAGTCCAATAACCTGAATTATCTTTCCGTTAATTATTTTCTTTCTGTGAATGGCCCATACTTTCTTTTTCTGTTGTTTCTTTGAATGCCTCCTAATTTTTCGTTCTTGTTGAGAACTGAATTTTTAAATATTATAGTGTGGCAGTTCTGGGAATCAGATTTTTTCCCCACTACCCAGAGTTTGTGGATGCTGCTTGTTGTGGTTTGTTGTTTATTGGTTTGATGACTCTTATAAACTATTTTTTGAAAGTATATATTCTTTGTTGTGTGTGGCTACTGAAGTCTGTGTTTCATGATCTTAGTGGTCAGGTGATGTTTGGACAGTTACCTTAAATGCTTAGAGATAAAAAAGGAAAAAAGGAAGAAGGGGAAAAAAATACCTTCCCTATCTTTGTACATTGCCTTTGTGTTGGGGCACTTCTTCAGTGCTTAACCAGGCCATTTATAACTTGCTTTATCCTTCACTTACTGTTTGCATAAGTGAAAGCTTAGGGTCTTTTCAGCCCATTTCTGAGCATGCTTTTTTTTCCTGGGCATTTGCATGGTCTTCTCAATTCCCCTATATGAGCATGAGCTTTTAAAGTTCCATTTTTGCTGTGTTTCACCTTTCCTAACTTTTTCCTTCCTAGGATTTTCTATTTAAGGCTTGTCTATATTGGTGTCCTTTGCCCCAGGCTGCTATGCCAATAACTGTGCCTTTAAATCTTTTTGGGAAAAGCTGTCTGGGATGGTGCCCCAGCCTTGGGTATTACTCAGAGTTGAGGGAAACAGAGGCCAGCCTTTGTGCTGGTCCTTAAGGGAGTTGCCAGTTCCAGCAGGGTCCATACCCTTTCTGTGGCACTATCAGACGTTCAGGCTGTCATCTTCATAGCTGCTGCAGATCTGGGTATGGGGAATGGTGAATGGAAAATTTAAAAGACCACAGTGCTCTCTTGCTGCAAAGCAACAGCTTTATTCTTCCCTACGTCTTCCCCTGGCTGTTTTTGAGTAGTTTTTGAGTAGTTTGAGTAGATTCCAGAGTTGTGCAAAAGTTGATTCTAACAATGTTTGTCAGCTCATTAGTTGAGTTTGGGAAGGAAGTGTACCCTGAAGTTCCCTACTCTGCTATTTTCGGTGATGTCACTCTGTTCCAATATTTTTATTATTATTACTTGCTAGTATTTAAAACTTATATATCACTTACTTCAGCAAATAATTATGTATTTTGCTAAATTATTTATTTTTTTATATACAGCTGACCGTAAGCTTTTTGAAAATCCTACCATGTATATGTATATTCTATATTTCATATGTGTATTCTATATTTCATTCCATAGCAATTGGTGAGTGCATCTTTCTCATTTGCATATGTATATATCCATTTATTACATCTGACTCACTTTGGGAAAATCTTACTGAGTTTTATAAAATTCACAGTTAAGGTGTGCCTGGGTGGCTCAGTTGGTTGAACATCCAAATTCAGCTCTGGTCATGATCTCAGGGCTCCTGAGTTCTAGCCCTGCATCAGGCTCTCTGTTGTCAGGATGGAGCTCTCTTCAGATCCTCTGTACCCCCCCTCTGCCCCTCCCCTGCCTCCCCCGCTTGTGTGCACATGCTCTCATTCTCTTTCTCTCAAAAAATAAATATTTAAAAAGATAAATAAAGGTTAAAACACATTTGAAAACATAATCTGATTGAGTTTAGATATTTTGCTATAAGGAATAAATATAATTACTGATTTTTATATTAGTGCTCTGTTGTTTTAATGCAGCAGTTATTAAAAAATAGACTTTTGAGGGATTCATGATCCTTTTGCTATAGTGTAAAAATTTGTTATACATTGGAAAATTTGGTGAAAGCATAGAATTAAGTCATGTAGACTTTACTTCTAGAGAAAAGTTCAAGAAGTTCTCTTTTCTGCTAAAGATTTTAAGGTATAAATTTCTTTGTAGACACAGGAAAGTAGATTTTTATTGATTTTTGTATCAGTCGTCATTCTAATGTATTTTTAAAATGGGCTAGATGGGGATTATTTAAAATTATTTTTATGACTTTATACTTGTTTGCTGTGTGATACAACTTTTGTCCACATCTTTTTATTAATGCCTGTTTTAAAATGATTACCTCCTTTTCTGTGTACTACACATATTTTATAAGAGCTGAAAATAAATTTCAGCACTAAAATATCTGGAGAATTAGTTATATAATAATTTTCTGTATTACTTTAGGGACTGGTTGCTTTCTGAATTGTGGAAAAGTTTTGTGTATTTTCACTTTTTCAGAGATGTCAAATTGTGTAGTATAAATCTCAACAGTTATTTCCATGAATTTAATTATTTTTTAAGTAAAAGGATGTATGATTTTTAGATTTATATAACTTTGATGCATTGTCAAGATTAGAACTATAGTAACTTCTAAGAAAGTCTTAAAATGCAGATATTTGTCATTTGCTGTGGGTTCAATAGCAACTGTGTAATAAAAATCGAAATAGTCAGCAAATATTTAGCTTTTCTACCCCTCCCAGATCATAATTCTTCCCAAAACATATTTCCAGAGAATTGCTAAAAGGCAGTAAAAATGGAAATTCTCCACTCTTTAGATCAGAACTGTACTTAAAGCACTGAATATCAAAACCTATAAGTTAAAGCCACAGTAGTATTCAAAGGGACATTTATAACTTTAAACACATTACTACTAAACAGGAAATTGAAGAATATTATATGTTCCTGTCCAATGCTAGGAAAAAACACTAATTAAAACTAAACCCCAAGAAGGAAGAATGAGTTAATAAATTAATAAAATAGCAAAAAGCCTAACCCATTTTGAATATTGAGCAATGAAGATAAAAGCTTATTCTTGGAGACAACTTAAAAGCAGGTTAATTTTTGATCTATAAATGATGAGTGTAAATAAACTACATAAGGATTAAAAAACGAGACAAATACACAGAGGACATTAAGAGAACGTTAGTATACCCAACTTAAAAAAAGTTTTTTTTAATGTTTATTTTTGAGAGAGAGGGAGACACAGAATCCGAAGTAGGCTCCAGGCTCTCAGCTGTCAGCACAGCACAGCACAGCACCTGGGGCTCAAACCCATGAACTGTGAGATCATGACCTGAGCCAAAGTTGGTTGCTTAACCGACTGAGCTACCCAGGCGCCCCTACACAACTTTATACCTATGCAGTCCATTTTATTACACTTGATCTTAGCCAAAAGGCCGAGAAGCGATACAGTCCATTTTATTTAGGAAGAAAGTAGAAAGCCTAAAATTATAAGGAACTCTGTTAAAATTACAACCAGTATCATATTTAATAGTGGATTGTGGAAATACTTCCACTGAAGTTGGGATGCCTATTATCTGTACTACTAAATAGAGTTTTGGTGGCAGTCTGAGCAATAAAATAATGACAGGAAAAATAAATTAAAAGTAATGATTGGGAACTCGATAGAATTAACTTGGCAAACTATTGAAAAAATAGGAAATTTAGAAATTACTTGGTTGAAGAAAAACAGTCCAATAGTTTTTCTATAGGAAAACAATCAATAACGAGTAAATAGGAGAAAAAGATTTCATATATGGTAGATATTTAAAAATAAATAAGTGCTTAAGAATAAACCAGAAAAGAACTTTAAGACCATTATGAAGTGAAAGGATAGAAAAAGAAAACCTGTGAGTTTCTACCATGTTCCTAGACACGAAGACTTGATTCCTTTCAAATTACTGATTGTATAGATTCAGAATACTCAAAATTTCAAGTGGATTTTTTTTATAGAAATGGAAAAGCCATCAACACTCCTTGGAATATAATATTCCGTTGGTTATTATTTATAAAATGCCATTTTAAGTAGTTTTAACTAAAAATAGCTTTTTCACTTTTTCTTTTGGCTCCCCTTCCCACCCCTGCAACAAGTAAATCTGTGGTTGCCTAATCCAAGAGATGGTTTTGAATAATGGGTATATGTGTCCGTTTATTCACCAGTATATTATTCACAATATGTCTGAATCTCACCAATTTATGTTACTTATATTTAAACCTACCCTTATGCCATTATACAAGAAATGATAGATAAACCTAAGGAAGAGACCAAGAGCAAAATGAAACAAAACTAGTAAAGACATAGTAATAGAATATGACTTTCCTGGACTAAAAAAATGACTTGTTTATATAGTTTTTTGAAAATCTCACACAGTACTTGCCAAGATAGAGTCCTAATCTTGGACACATTATGGCAGATATTTTGAAGTATAGTTCAAAAAAATTGTACAGTTTCCTAAATGAAAATAACAACAAAAAGGCTGGTCTTTGATTTCTTTTTTATAACATTAAATTGGAGGCAGTCAGTCAGTGTCCAGATTTTGATTTTATTTCTCTAATAGTTTATTTTTTTAAGTGATAAAATTCTTTTTATTTTTATTTGTTTTTATTTTTTTAATGTTTATTTATTTTGAGAGGATGGGGTGGGGGAGTGGCAGAGAGAGAGAGAGAGAGACAGAGAGAGAGAGACAGAGAGAATCCCAAGCAGGCTCTGCACTGTCAGTATGGAGCCTGACATGGGGCTCAGTCTCATAAACCATGCGATCATGACCTGAACTGAAATCAAGAGTTGGGTGCTTAACCAACTGAGCCACTCAGGTGCCCTGATAAAATTCTTTTTAAAAAGTAATTAAGTACTGTATATGATGTGAAAGTGAAGTCCTTATCTTTACACTCTCCCTCACTGCCTGCCAATGCTAGCCTCTAGAAGTAATTACTTTTAACTTTGGTATTTATTCCTTCTAGACATTACCTCATATATATATCAAAATGACATTTTAGTATAAGTAAAAATAGTATAATAATACCATACAGACTATGCAGTTTACAGAATATCTACCAGATAGAGGCAAGAATGAAAGACATTCTTGCATAAATTGGGACAGAAAACACTTTCCCATATATATTTCTTGAACAAGTTGCTTGAAATATTTTAGCCACAGAAAGGTAAATTCATATTAAGAATATAAAATTATGCTGTACGTCTTTGGGTGTTAAAAACATGCATAAATAAATACTCAAGTCATGAGGAAATCTTCGTCTTCAGAGTCCTATGTGATTGATTGCCTAGGACTTAAAAGGACTTGTCAAAGGACTTAAAACTTTATAACATTTGTGGTCTCCTTCAGAAGTGACTCTGAAAGAAACCTTAAAAGTAAATAATACCATTTTCTTTTTATGATACGTTTATATTGGATAAAAGAAATTTTCTGGAGGAATTCTTCCCTAGGCAGGTCTCATGAACACACTCAAGTTTAGTTTAAATTTCTTGAAAATATATTTAACATAAGATGGCAGCAGCAGTTAACAGCAACAAAAACAGTTGAGTATCACATCTATGCCTTAGTAAAAGACTTAAATACAAAATATTCATGTGGTGTTGAGGTATTTTTCTGTTTTTTCTTTTCTGTTTGTTTTCTTAAATTTTCTGTGAATATGTATTTGGGTAAAATATGTGATCAGGCATTTTGTAGAAGCAGTGCAAGTGATTAGTAAAATAATTATATTGAAATGTTAGTAGTAAGATAACGTTTTTGTTAGGTTATTTTAAATTAACACTATTAAGTGTTTCACAGAATAATATATGAGTAGTCATATATACTGCTGTTGAAAGTATAAATTAGCAAAGCTGTTCTGAAAAAGAAATTTAGATATTTGATAATTATTAGATAATTTAGTTATCAATTATCATTTAGATAAGAATAATTATTTAGATAAGAGCTATTCTGTCTCAGAAGGTACACCTGTGTGAGTACTACCCAAGGAAATAATCTGAAAGAACAAAATTATTAATTGCATTGTTATTTGACTATAGCAGTACATTGAGAAACATGAAACATTTCCACTGGGAAGTAGAGTGTATAAATAATGATTCAATATATTATGTGTATATCCACAAGCAGTATTGGCATTGGATATTTTATGACTTATAGTTGTATTAGTATACAATTCTCAGAAAATTGTGTGGTTACAACATATTAAAACATAACAGCAAAAAAAATCCCCACAATTATACATATTTAGAAATGTACTGGTTTGTGAGTTCTAGGAGGAAAAAAAACTAATGTTCTAAAATCAAGAGTGTTTACCTCTAGGTATCAAGTTCAAAGGTCATTTTAGTGTTCATTATGATTTTCTGTATTTTCCAATTAATGTATTTTATAATCAGCTTGCCTTATTTTCTTTGCTGTTGGTTATCTTCTGACAATCCTTTTATTTCTGGGTTTCTTGTTATGTATGCATGAGTTCCTTTCTGATACCATATGTTACTTGATTTTTGTTTCACATTTGGTTTTTTTAGGCCAAGATAGCGAGGTTAACCAAACGCTTTGGAGCAGCCAAAGAAGATCTTAAGAAAAGACAAGAAGTAAGAATTTCTATTCTTGTATAATTAATATTGAGCTCTAAGTGGTACTTGGATAATCGTGAGCTGGGAAGAAATTCTTCCTTTATTACAGGTCTGAAATTTGCTTTCCTACTTTGTACTTCCTATATGTTTTTTCAGAAGCTGCAACTCTGAAGCTAATATTAACCCTTTTCTAATCCTCAATTACTGTTTTCATATATCAACACTTATATTAATCTGTTTTATAGTATTCCTGAAGTTATGTTTTGTTTCATTTTTAAAATTTTGTTTTTGGGATTTATCTTCTCATGTTTCTTTCTTTTTACATTCTTGCCAGGGTCCTATTTTTGTCTCTTATTTCCTCCAAGGTGCGTTAGTGTACCATTGCCTGGAGTGGCCCCTTCTCATCTTTGCTTACCTCAGGTGGTTAAGTGCAAAGATCATAGCATAACATAAAACTCCAGTGTATAGTCTACCTTTTGCTTTTTGTTGTTTCCGTAGTTATTCTGTAATACATATATATATATATTTTTAATTTTTTTTAATGTTTGTTTATTTTTGAGAGAGAGAAAGAGAGAGACAGAGCATGAGTGGGGGAGGGGCAGAGAGAGAAGGAGACACAGAATCCGAAGCAGGCTTCAGGCTCTAAGCTGTCAGCACAGAGCCCAATGCGGGGCTCGAACCCACGAACTGTGAGATCATAACCTGAGCCGAAGTTGGATGCTTAACCGACCGAGCCACACAGGCGCCCCTGTAATACATATATTTTTAAAGAATATTTATTTATTTATTTATTTATTTATTTTGAGAGAGGAAGAGAGAGCACGGGTAAGGGAGGGACACAGAGAGAGGGAGAGAGGGAATCTTAAGCAGGCACCATGCTGTCAACTCTGAGCCTGACACGGGGCCCAGTCTCATGGACCCGTGAGATCATGACTTGAGCTGAAATCAAGAGTCAGATGCTTAACTGACTGAGCCACCCAGGCACTCCTGTAATACAAATTTTTAATATCGCACTCGTATATTGCATTATAGTTTTCAGTTTAATATCTTTATTTTCCTCTTGACTTTTTCTATTATGGTACATTACATTTCTTTGTCATGAGAGCAACATTGTCTGGCACTTACCAATTGCCAATAACGGTTATTTCAATAGTAATTATTACTGTAGGATTTTCCTGTTTTCATTCATTTCATATCTTCTTTACTTGACTTTAAATAAAACCATTTTGAAATAATTATAGATTAACAAGAAGTTGTAGCAATACTACATAGACTCCTGTGAACTTTTCACATAGCTTCCCATAGTGGTGAAATCTTGAATAACTGTTGTGCAATATCAAAACCAAGATATTGGTACAATTCTGTTAAGTAGTCTGTAGACCTTAATCATTTCTGCAAAATGTAGACCAGTTTTTTCATGAATTCATTGTGTGTGTGTGTGTGTGTGTGTGTGTGTGTGTGCATGTACACATTGATCCCACGTACAGATTTATGTAACCTCCACCACAGTCAAGATCTAGAACTGTTCCGTCACCATGAAGGGACTCCCTCATCCTGCCATTTTATAGTTTCAACCTATCTCATTTCCCATACCTACCCACTCCTGTTCCCTGGCAACCACAGATCAGTTGTTCATCTCTGTATTCCTTTTACCTAACTTTTTAAGCTCTGGTTGCTCTTTTTCCTTGAGCAACTGATAGTTTTCATCTTTGTTCTACACAGACTAATCCCACCAAACCCTCCATTGGCCGTACCCAAAGATTTTTTTTTTATTATAGCTTCTTTAATTATTATAATTAATTCTTAGATTCTGAACTCCATTTGTCTCAGCTTTTGTTTTTTTGTCATAATATAAAAATTGAACTATTTGTCTTCTTATTTTAGAAAATTTATGTAAACCTTTTTTTTAGCCTTTAAAACAATTTTTTTTAATGTTTATTTTTGAGAAAGAGAGAGAGAGCACGAGCAGGGGAGGGACAGAGAGAGAGGGAGACAGAGAATCTGAAGCAGACTCCAGGATCTGAGCTGTTGGCACAGAGCCCGACACGGGGCTGAAACTCATTAACTGTGAAATTGTGACCTGAGCTGAAGTCAGACACTTAACTGACTGAGGCACCCCTTTTTTACCCTTTTTTATTTGCTATTCTTGAACCAAACAGAGGGCTTTGTAATTTTTCCTTTGTTTTTTATACAATGTGAATTTCCACTTTTTCCCTTTTATGTCTGAACTACGCAGCATACTGCGCACTATATACTTTTCCAGTGTTTGTGTATGTCGAGTTTGTCTTCAAAACTACTTTCTAGTTCTTTTTGTTTAATTTATTCAAAGGCTGTAGGCAGTCACAAACTTTAAGGAATAAAAATGAAAATATTACAGTGCCTGAGAGGTTTGTTATGGAGAGTTAAAAGTATAATGGAAATGACAAACACTGTATAATTCCTAAAGATTGGAAAAGGTTAATTTGAACAATTAGGGTATGTGGTACTTGAAGAAAAATATTGAGGTGGTCTTCAAACTTTCAAATTTTGTTCCTTCCTCAATTAGCTTTTGGGTAAGGCCAGTTTTATATGCCAAAACTGGGACATCTTTCTACCTATTCTTGTTGATATTTTCTTGTAACAGCGATTTCTAGAAATCTCAAGAATTTGTTCTTTCATGTCCTAATTCCCTTTAACTATGGTATCCACTATAATTTTACATCTGTGTCATGCTAGATTTTGAAAACAGGAGAGATACAGAATGAAAGTTTAGAATTTAGTTCTCACCCTTATTAAAATAAATAAACAATAATACTTTAAGTGCTTTTCTTCTATTTAGATTTGCTCCTTGGTCCTCTGATATTAACCAGTTAAAAACAAACCCCACCATGCAGGTTTGTCTTAAAACATTTTCCGTTTTAGGTTTTAAAAGCAGAAAACCCTCATAGGCAGTTTACTATTAAGTCCACATTTATTGCCTTACAATTGCTATCTCTAATTTATATCCTTTCTAGTTCTTACTATAAAAGAAATGTAAAGATATTTCTCATTCTTTATCTATGAAAATCAGTGATGTAATTGATTCAGTAAAATTTTAGATTAAATCTAAATTCTGCATTTGAATTTTTTATTTAAAAATGTTTTGTTTTTTTTTAATTGTGCTACAAACACGTAACATAAAATATATCATTTTTAACATAGTTAAGTAGTTTTAACTATATTAATAGTTAAGTAGTTAACTATAGTTAAGTAGTTTTAACTATATTAATAACATCATTGTGTAATAGATCTTTAGACATTTGTCTTTTTGCAAAACTGGAACTCCGAACCATAGAACAAGTACTCTAGTTTCCCCTCCCTTCAGCACTTGGATACTTTTTGTTTCCATGATTTGACTACTCTAAATACCTCTTAAGTGAAATTATATATAGTATTTGTTTTTTTGGCTCATCTGTATTGTAGCATGTGACAAGATTTCCTTTTTAAAGGTTGAATAATATTCTATTGTATGTATATAGTATACACCACATTTTCTTTATCCATTCATTTATTGATGGATATTTGGGCTGATTTCATCTCCTGGTTCTTTTGTGAATAATGCTACAATGAACATTGGTATGCAGATACCTCTTTGAGATCCTGGTTTCAAGTCTTTTGGATATCTACTGGAAAGTGAAATAGTAATTTGATTTTAGTTTTTTGAGGAGCCTCAAAATAAAAGAGACTTTTTATTAAAAAACTTTTTAATAAAAGAGACCACCCTATTTTTCATTCTTACCAGCAGGGAACAAGGTTCTAATTTCTCTACATTCTTGTCAACACTTGTTATTTTCTGTTTTGTGATAATGGCCCTCTAATGGATGGGAGGTGGCATTTCATTGTGGTTTTGATTTGCATTTCTCTAATAATTAGTGATGTTGAGCATCTTTTCATATGCTTGCAGTCCATTTTGCATGTCTGTAGAGAATTGTTCAGGTCCTTTGCCTGTTTTTTAATTAGCTTGCTTGTTTTTTAATTAAGTAGTAGGACTTCTTTATGTATTCTGGTTATTAACCTCTTCCATCAGATATATTATTTGCAATTATTTTCTCCTGTTCTGCAAGTTTCATTTTTGCTCTGTTGATTGTTTCCTTTGATGTGCATAAGTTTTCAAGTTTGATGTAACCTCCTTTGTTTTGCTTTATTTTGTTGCCTGTGCTTTTGATGTTATATCCAAGAAATCATCACAAAATATGATGTCATAAAACTTTCTCCCTGTGTTTTCTTCTAGAAATGTTTAGTTTTGGTCTTCCATTTATTTTGAATTAATTTTAATATGTGGTGTAATGGTTCTGTTTCATTCTTTTGCATTTGAATATTGAGTTTTCATACCATTTATTGAAAGACTGTCTTTTCTCCATTGTGTAGCCTTGGCATCCTTGTTGAAAATCCCTTGACCTTATACATAAGAGTTTATTTCTGGGATGTCTGTTCTAGTCTGTTGGACCATGTGCCTGTCTTTATGCCAGTACCACACTGTTTTGATTACTATAGCATTGTAACATGTTTTGAAATCAAGAGGTATGGAGGCTCCAACTTTGTTCTTCTGTTCTAGGATTGTTTTGGCAATTCAGGGTCCCTTGAGATTTCATATAGATTTTAGTATGCTTTTTTCTATATCTGCAAAAAATGACATTGGATTTTAATAGACATTGCATGGAAACTTTTGATCACTTTGGGTAGTATGGACATTTTAGCAATATTAAGTGTTCCAGTCCATGAACATGGGATGTCTCCATTTGTGTCTTTTATTTTAATCAACACTGTTTTGTAGTTTTCATATTAAAGGTCTTTTGCCTTTTTGGTTAAATTTACTTCTACATATTTTATTCTCTTTGATGATATTGTAATGGGGTTGTTTTCTTAATTTCTTTCTCAGATTGTTGGTTGTTAGTATATAGAAATATGATCGATTTTGACTTTTTTTTTTTTTTTTATCCTGCTGCATTGCTGAATTCATTTATTAGTTCAAACTTTTTTGTGTGTACCTTTTAGGGTTT